CACAGCTGCCTGGCAAGAGCCCAGCACAGTGTTATTAGATATCTGGGGTGTGGGAAACAGGCTTACTATTAGTTGCAAAATTCACCCATATGGGCTTCCCGGAACTAGGACCCACAGGGCCATGTTAGGGGAACCAGGGTCAGATGGAATGGCTTTGAATCTCAGCTCTGCAATTACAGCTGTAGAACCCCAAACAAGTCACTACACCTCTCTGAGCTTGACACTCCTCACGTGACATGGATCTAACCCAGCCGGGTTGCTGCACATCTGACACAAAGGAGAAACAGTGCAGCTCAGTTACTGAATTACAGCTCTGCCTCTTAGCAGCTGGGTGACCAAGGAGAACTCAGCCTCTCTGAGGCTCAGCTGCCCCTTCTGTAAAACAGGCATGATGACATGGCAAGTGGTCTCCTCTGAGCCCAAAGTAAAGCAGGGGGCATCACTGCCGAAAAGGAAATCTGCATGCCCAGCCTCCCTCATCGGAGGTACAGCCACAGAGATGAAGGCCTGGCTTGAAGTGTAGGAACCTTCCAGAAGAGCCACATAAGTTAATATGCTATTCAAGGGAGCTGCAGTCAGAATACTGGCCCCCAAAAATGTCCAAGTCCTTCTCTCTGACACCTGAAGATGGAGATGACCACTGAGTGAGTAATGAATAATAAAGTAGATACACTGTTGAATTCGGGGGGGGGGGGGGGGGGGGCTGAGTGGGGGACAACCCTCAACCAGAAACACTCACCCCTTAAAGGAACCCTTCACACTCTGGATGTGAGGTCTCCAATCAGTGTTTTCCAAAGCCTGGACGCTGCACTCCCCATCCCACCCCTTGGCCGGCTCCCCCAGCGTGGCCCACTGTCGAGCAGTGGCATTTGTTCCTTGGATTCTGTAGCCATTGAGAGAACCAAGACAGCTCTCTTCAGAACGCTGCATTTCTTGGCTGAGGAGCACTATGTCACCACCACCCCCTGGGATCTCCTGTCTAACTGCACCTCCCAGAGCACATGGCTGCTCTACATGGTCCCCTGGGAGTGAGCCATTAGCTAGGCCACCATTCTCATGAGGGACCAGCCATGTACTCACCAGATGGGAAAGCCAGTCATCCCACCCCCCGAAACAACCTGTAGGTTCTGCTCTGTCCACGGCTAGGAAGAACTCATCACACACAGGAAGCTGACCATTGTTCCAGAAGCCAGGAGAAATGGGTTTACAGCAAAGGAACAGCTCTCAGTGGACTGTAAAAGACTTCTGGAAAGGGAATTCAGGGGATTTACCTCAGGTTGAAAGAGATTCTGTTACAGGATCCTTTAATGTCTTAGAAATCCAATGCTCATCTTTAGTTCAGGCCCTTCATTTACATTCTAAAGAGCCAGACACATTCCCAGGAGTTGTTTTTCCCTCTGCTCATTCTGCCCTGCTTGCTGAGTGCTTCTGTTCCCCCATTTCAGTGTTCCTGCCTCCTGAGACCTTGCCCTAGGCATGTCCCATTGTCCCCTAGGCTCCCCACCCCCACCCCCCACTCTGCATGCCTGTCCCACAGTACTGGAAGGCTTATTGTCCCACCTCCCCAATCACCAGGCTAGGACAGAAGTCTAGGATAAGGATGAGGACAGGGGCCAGAGCTCCAGGACGGGTGGAGAGAATTCCTTCCTGATAAAGGCTGAGGAGCTCTTCAGTTTCCTTGTCAGTTGGGTGTGGCTGCTTTGATGCATGGCAGTGGCTTGGCCACATTCTCCAGCACATTTTTTCAAAGGATGGATTCTCTGATGGCTTGGTATCCTTGGTCCCCCGGTGGGCAGCAGACAGGCTTCTTCCCAAAAAAACAGAGATAACCATTCCCCCGTTTCGAAGAGCTTCCAGGCCACAGAGGTCCCTGGGAGCTAGCTTGGTTCTGTGTGGCACAGGCAGGGTGGCAGATCACCTCTCTCTCAGGGTTCGGGCCTCTACACTTGTACCAGAAGTGAATGCTTGCTCCACCTGCCAGGCCATCAAGAGTCTTCAGCACACCTGGGAGCTACCAAGTTCTTGGGGTGGAAATGGGGTCCCAGGGAGCCTGTTGCCCTTACCCTCACAGCAGTAACAAGACTTAGGAAAGTGAGAAGCAGACCAGCATATCTAAAATAAACACTGTAACCAGGCTCAGGTAAACATTCTAGATGGCCACTATAGCTCAGGACTGGTCAAAGGCAACAGTCACAAGACCACATCTTTGCTGTCCAACATGCTAGCTGCTAGGCACACATGGCTATTTAAAGTTAAATTTAAGTAAATTAATTTAAACTATAATTCAGGTCATCAGTTGTAGTGGCCATATCTTAAGTGTTCAATAGCCACATGTGGCTTGTGGCTGCTGTACTGATCAGTGCAGATCTACAACATGCTATCACTGCAGAAACTTCTACTGGCTAGAGCTGAGCTACGTAACTACTCATAAGTGGTATGAGAAATGGAAAAGGATAGGAGGAGAGAGAGAGAGTGAAAAGGTAGGGAAATAGAGTAGTAGGGGGGTGGAAGAGAGGAAAGTGGGAGGGGCAGGAGATGGGGGGCAGCCGGGGAGGCAGGGGAAGGGGACTAGAAGAGAGAAGGTGGCAGCTAGAAGAGATGGGGAAGCAGAGGAAGCAGTTTCTCTGGACTCCCTGACTTGAATCTGAAGTGCCAAGGACCACAGGAATGTGTTTCTCAAAACTCCTTAAACTCCTTGGAACACATTCTGCCTGGAAGGTTGCAGATTTCCAGGCCTGGCCTAGACAAAGCAATCAGCAACAAGGGAGGCTGCAGGTCAAAGGAGGGCCTGACTAGGCTGGGCCCACACATCCTGACCTCCTCTGGCTTCTCCAGCATTTTTAAGAGGTTTCCAGGCGAGAGACTTTTGGACAGTGCCCTCTCGTGGTTCCTTATGTCCAGCTTCAGGACAACATGCATAGGCAGGAGTACCCAGGCTGGGCCAGCCCAGTGTCGCTGCTGCATTAACGACAAGTGCATGTCACCCCCTGGGAGTGTGTCTGGGGGATCTGTGAACAAAGGGGTCACATACTCTTCTACTACCTCGGCAGCAGGCTTAGGCACTCCCATCCCAGCGTCATTCCTGCTGTCTCTGGGCAGGACTCCATTCAACTTGCTTCAGCCAGGGTGGCTTTTCAAGAAATAATACAGAGAGACCCCATGTTAGCCCTCATCCAGTTTGCCCCAATTAGTAACATCTTGCAAAACTGCAGCATATCACAACCAGAAGATCAATAAAGTCAAGATACGGGATGTTTCCATCACCACAGAATGCTTCGTGTTGTCCTTGGGTGGTGGCACCTACTTCCCTCCCACCCACCCCCATCCCCACCCCTGAACCCCTGGCAACCACCAGTCTGTTCTCCATTTCTATAACTGTTATGTGGAACAACTGGATATCCACATGCAAAAGAACACCATATACATGTATCTCACGCCATATATGAAAGTTACAAAACTAACTCAAAATAGATCAAGGCCCCAAATGTATGAGCTAAACTATAAATCTCTTCAAAGAAAACATAGGTAAGTCTTTGGACACTGGATTAGGCCACAGTTTCTTAGACATGACCATCTGACCTAAAGCACAGCAACCTAAGAAAAAAAGAAAATTGGATTTCATCAAAATTAAAAACTTTTGTATTTTGAAGGTAATCAAGAGAGTGAAAAGGCAACCTGCAGGGAAAAATACCTGCAAATGATACATCTAATTAGGACCTACCATCTAGAACACAGAACACAAACTCAACAACAATGAAAAAAATGGGTGATCCAATTAAAACACAGGCAACGAGTCTGAACAAACATCTCTCCAAAGAAGACATGCAAACAGCCGATGAGCAAACAGAAAGATGTTCAACATCACAAGTCATTAGGGAAATGCAAATCAAAACCATGACGAGACAGTATTTCACACCCACAAGGATGGCCATCATCCAAACAAGGCTAATAATGAGTGTTGGCAAAGATGTGGAGAATCCAAACTAGTTTGCCTGGCTGGCAGGACTGTGAATATGAAATGGTGCCATTCTGCACTGCAGAGAAAAGAAGTGGCCTCACAAAACAGTAAACAGTTACTCTATGACCTAGCATTCACACATGCCGACCCAAGAGAAATGGAAACATGTCCACACAAAGGCAAATGTTCAAAGCAGCACTAGTCACCATAAGCCAATAGGTGTAAACAACCCAAAGGTCCAGCAAGCTGTGATGTATCCACATGACAGAGTGCCTTTGCCATAAAAAGGAATGCAGTGCTCACACACGCTACAACGCGGCTGTGCACCACAAACACTGCATATGTTGAGAAGTGTCAGACACAACAGACCCACATGCTACAGAACTGCATGCACATGAAATATCCAGAACAGGAAAAGTCAGAAAGTAGGCAAGTGGTTGCCAGAGGCTACGAAGAGGAGGAGGAGTGATGCATGATCAGTGCAGGGTTTGTTTTTTTTTTTTTTTTAACCAAGATTGTATGTATTTATTCATGAGAGACACAGAGAAAGAGGCAGAGACATAGACAGAGGGAGAAGCAGGCTCCCTGCGGGGAGCCCCATGCAGGACTCCATCCCAGGACCCTGGGATCACAACCTGAGCTAAAGGCAGACCTCAACCACTGAGCCACTCAGGCGTCCCCAGTGCAGGGTTTCTTTCTGGGGTGACCACATGGGTATGGAATGAGACACCAGGGGGAGGGTTGCACAACTGTGCAAATACACTGAAATCCACTGAATTGTATGCTATAAAAAGGTGAATTTTATGGTATGCAAATGACATCTCAGTTTAAAAAACTCAATTCACATAATTTTATGCTACTTACTAAAGTGTGAGCTACCTGACACTGGTGCCACCACCACCTTTGGCCCATCACTGGGGCAGAAGGAAGAGAGACCCAGAGGCCCTCCCCCCACCCAGTAATGCCAGCTGGAGAACATGCTCCCCACCCCCCTCTCCAAAGCAGAACCAGTGTCACCATCCAAATAGGGTCCACTTTGGAGTTTCACAAATAACATTTATTGGCCGCATTTACACCGGAGTCTCACCCGCACCCAGGGCAGCTGTGCACAACCAAGCACTGCCTGATGAGAAAGAACTTGGACTCTACCCCGGGTGTGAGCTAGATGACCTGAGAAAATGGCTGTTTATCACAGACTCCTCCTAATATGACAACTTTCCTTAAAGACCTTGATTATGACTGAAGTTCTCGTTGATGTTCTTGGCAGTGGCTGAAGATTCCAACTTCAAACCCAGAACAACTGTCTGGAAAACAAAGAATAGGCAGTTACACCGAACTGTGCCCCACACTTAAGCCCATGCTGCCCTGGCAGGACCTGTCAGGGAGCCTCCATGGGTTGGTAGTAAGGGGGACCCCCACCATGAGTTCCCAAGGAGCCCAGGCAGGAAAGATTGCAGTAAGGCAACACCAGGGTGTATTGTAACTGGCTCACTTCTAGCCATGGATCTTTTTTGTTTGTTTGTTTGTTTATTTATTCATGAGAGACACAGACAGAAAGAGAGGCAGAGACACAGGTAGAGGGAGAAGCAGGCTCCACGCAGGGAGCCCAACGTGGGACTCGATCCCGGGTCTCCAGGATCACACCCCAGGCTGCAGGCGGCGCTAAACCGCTGCGCCACCCAGGCTGCCCTAGCCATGGATCTTCTGATGAGGTATTCAGCCCCTAGAGCCCACTCTCCCTCTCAGGGTGGAGAGTCTCAGCCTTGCACAGCTGTGAAAGGGACCCAATTCAAGGAGGCTGCAGCAGGCCCCACCGAGAAGGTAAGTGTGACTGTCAGGGCCCTTCAAGGGTCCCTGTTGGGAAGGTCCTGAGCTTGCCTGTTCTACAGCCTTCACAATTCTAGCAAATCTCTGCCAGGCCAGCCCACAGGCAGCCTGCAGTTTCTCCTGAGATGTGCTGGTCGTGTAGTTTGGGGAATCTCACAGGCACCCCGCAGACACCCCAGCCAGACAAGATAGTTCTCTTGAACAGCTGGCACTTCGGCCCTAAGAGCCTGGCTCTGAGGCAAACGCCTCCTACACGATCATTTGCACTTCCCTTTAGCCTACCCTGACCATCTACCTCATGTGTTATCTGCAGCCAAGCTTCTTTCTTTGCTCTTCCCAGAGTGGGCACAGGAGAGTCTAATTCACTTTGACAGTCAAGTTGGCAAACACACAAGAACAGATGAATTTTCATGCAAAGCAAAGAAGGAACAATCTCACGGTTTCACAAACCCCCTCATACTCACAGATCACCCAAAGCTCCCAGACCCTTGCCTCAGCCCTCTTCTCAAAAGCACATGCCCCAGAGAGGCTATGGGTCCATGCAGGCACTCTCATACAGATGTGCCCCGTGGCGTTGTTTGTAATCACAGGATCAGAGGCAGCACAGGTGCCCAACACCAGGAAAGCAGACAAACAGGGTGCAGTGGGGAGGGCCTTCTGCTTCCCGCCAGGACCAGAGACAAAGACAGAGCTACCCCCCTGCTATGAACGACAATAACGAGGACACTGGACAGACATCTACAACCATTTTCAGATACTGGACACTTTCTAGAATATTCCTCTTACAATTACATGAAGACAGATGATTAAGAAGCAAACAATATATGTAAATTGATCTGCATGCATTCACACACCCAGTTTTGCACATCTTCTACCCACATACATTTGTGTGTCTGCATGTCCTTGCACACAGGTGTGATCAAAGAGCCTGAGTAGACCAAAGGAAGCAGCCCTGCCTGTCCCTGGGCAGGGGTGGGGAGCGTGCCCTGGAGGCTTCATGGGAGCAAGTCTGGGTGGTGTTCCAGGTGACAAGGCCTGGATGAAGCTAGTGGGTCGAGGCTGGGGCAAGGGTTTTCCCAGATGTAGCCTTGATGGCTGGGACCAGGCTGGGGGAGAGGTCACAGGTCTCCAGGCCTGAAGCTGTGCTTACTCCCCAGCAGGATGCCTGGGCAAACAGCAGCTACCTTCAATCTTGATGTGTTGGAAATGTGCATAAACTGGAACCAGTGGTAGGCCAACAGAGGACCTGGGGAAAGTGATGAGGTGAGGAAAGAAAGGCAGGCAGCCCCGAGATGCCCAGTGCCCCACTGTCAGCTCTGATATGCCTGGATTGCTCGTTCATGAAGCGTGTGGTAGAATAAGATCCCAGTGCAACTGTGTACAGTGAGAACAGCACCATGGTGATCCCACTGCAGCCATTCCTCACCCTTTCGTTCAGCCACAACCAACTGCTCCCAGCCCCTGACCAAAACAGTGCCCCCACTGCCCCCACTCCATGCCTGCTCACCGAATGGCCACCACGACCCTCAGGACAGCCTGCAGGAGGGTCAGGAGGCTGCGGGGCAGGAGGGAGGCCGGGATGCTTGCTCCCTTCCCTGGGGCCAGTGGTTCATGCTGGTGAAGGGCCTGGAGCTGCTGCCACTTGAGGAGAAGGTGCCCATCACAGCAGATCCGCCAACGGTTGTACCAGGAACGCAAGCCCAGGGCAGGTTCTAGGCAAGAAAGCAAGTCAGGCCCTGGGCAGAGTGGGGACAGAGTGCCGCATTTGCATACCACACATGAGAGAACCCTCCAGAACCCAGGGCAAGGACGCCAGGTGTCCCAGAGAAGCTGGTCACAGCCCCGAGCACATGGATGCTGGCCAACATCCATGGAGATACAACGAACACTGCTGTTTACTTATTTCTGGGCTGACTACGGGGCTCGTGCCAGTGTCTTTTGAATCTTTATCCCTGACAGCCGCATCATGAACTAGTTATGAATGAAAGAATACAGAATTTAGCTGCGACCTGTTTCCCATTAAGCTTTCTTTTTTTGTTGTTTTTTTGGAAGGGTGAACAAGTGGGTTAAGCTCAGATGAAACCAGACTGGCGAGAAGCTGATCAGTAGAACTTAGTGATGGAAACATGGGGTTTATTTGAGTATTTGAAAAAACCACAACTACAAATGGGACTCTACTGTTTCCATTTCCTTGATCCTGGCTTTTGAGATCCGCTTTGGTCAACATGTGACTATTCTGGTATCATATTTATATTATAGCACTAACATGCTACTACTACAAATTATGCTATATTTATACACTATGTAACATATCCTACACATATACTGCATTGTATTATACACTGTATTACTACTCTGATTATACCAATGTGTAAAAGCATGATTAATATAAAACATATTATTTTCTTTATTAAAAAATCCTGCTGCAAAGCATAGGGAAGAAAAGCAAATGAGCCCTCTCTTTACAAAAAAAAATACAAGATGAATATACAGATTTTCTCTTTAAAATGGAAATAATCTGGATTTGAGGGTATAGGAAATATTTTTAAGCCACTTTTCTTAAATCATATTTTTAAACCTCTCTCTACAAAGCTCAAGGGGAGACAGATCCCAATTGTCCTGATACTAGTGAGACCTGGGCTCTCAATCCTGTCCTGGGAACACCTTCTGGACTGAAAGGGTTAAGGCTAAATTGCCCAAACTATTAACAAGGACTGCAGTGAAAGCACAGCTTTTGAAAACGTATCAAATTGATGCATAGGATTCAACAACAAACTGAGCTTTTGGCTTTTCTTAAAGATGCAGAGTATTCGAAGCCAAAAACAACCAATAAAAATAATCCGTAAGTGTGTGGTTATACAGTTAAAAGAGCAGTTTCTCCAACTTTATTGTCCTACCACTATGGTTTCTTTCCTAAGGTGATTTCTGGCTCTTCTCTCCCAAACTTGAGCCAATGTGCTGCTTCGTGTTTTGTTTGTTATACAGCCCCTAGTCTTGCTCTTCTGGTTGTTTACCTCCTGTCTTCCCCCACCCACATGGGTAACCTGTGACTGTCAAGCTAGACACACTGCACCGAATCCACATCCACAACCAAACAGGGCTTTAGCTTTTCTCTGATGCACATGGATGGAGTACTACTGCACAGACTGAAGCCACTTGTTTTTCCATGCTGCAACGTGTCTGGGGCTCCCTCCCATCCTCCTAACAGCTGCACACTCTATGTTGGCAGGTGCCACATTTGAAACACATCTCCATATATGTCCATCCTCCCACTGGGAGACGCTTCAGCTGCTTCAGATACCTTGCCAAAGATACTGCTGCTGCATACAGGCATGTATGTAGGAGTGTCTACCAGACATTACCCGGACATGGGTTTGCTGGATTCAAGATCAAGTATATTACAAAAGTTGAAAGATGAGAGAAATGGATGAAGTGGTCAAAAGATACAAACTTCTAGTTATAAAATAAATAAGTCCTGGGGATCTAACATACAGCACAGTGATCATATTTAATAATACCATAATGTATATTTGAAAGTAGCTAAGAAAGTAGATCTTAAAGGTTCTCACCACAAAAAATAAAATGTGTAACTGCGAGGTGACAGATGTTAACTAGACTTAAGTTGGTCATTTTGCAATAAACACAAGTATCAAATTGTTACACCGTGCACCTGAAACTAATATGTTCTACGTCAATTATATCTCAACAAATATTTGATAAATGCCTCTAAACTGCCCCCACAAAGGCTACGTACATCTATGCAGCTTCTAATTATTTTTATTATCAGGGAAAATATGCATTTTTGCAGCATTAAGAGGTAGGCATGCTGGCTGTCAGCCACTCATTTCCTGGGCACTTTCCCACCCAGCCCTGTGCTCCTGGGCTCTGGGCAGGCCGCTCAAACTGCTCACCCATCACAAGAACCCAGCCCCAGCCAGGCATCCATCCATTCCCTCCATCACAGATTTCAGGGAGGGGTGCTCACCACACAGAGCATGGGCACAGCTGGGCCAGGGGAGGACCCCTGTTGCAAGCCACACAGCATGTCCACTCCTTTGCTCACACCAATGCAGAGGAAGCATACATGTTTGCTATCAGTGCCAGAAAACACCTTCAAGAGCAATCCAACCCACTTGTTTTAGAGACAGAGAAAGTAAAGGTGGGAATGGAGGTACCATCTCCTCAACTGCTGACATGAGTTCATGAGTATACACTGGCTCACAAATACATAAAGCCAAGAATACACTTTGTTACAGATATATACTGCATCATGAACAGATGAATATATGGTATGTACTACATCTGCCATAATTATATGAACATACATATCCTAGGTTTCAAGTATATAAATGTTTTACAAATATACTCCAAAATGAATATATGCCTAAATATTATGTCATGAAAATATAGTGTCCTGCATATGTACATGTAGGTATATGTGCCATATCGTTAGTAAATACATTTACTAGGTCATAAGTGTACGCGTGAGTGTATATACCAGACACACAGACATACACTATGTCATGAACTATACAAGACCAGAACTTAAAAGAAAATATACTTTAGATAACATCTAACTCCAGGCTGCAAATTGGCTTCACTTTGAAAGCTAATGCAGACAGACTGTAGAGTCTAAGGCTTCTCTAGGTTCACTGAGGAAAAATGGTAGGTAGCCAGTGATGCCTGGCAAGAGAAGGGAGTGAAGATGCGGGATGTGTGTCACATGTCCATCTTTCTTTTACAGACATCTCGGGATGAAAGAAGTCTCCCCATCCCCACCATGAGACCCCGCCTTCCTTGGGGAGTGGGAGAGGATGAGACGTGTATGGTCTGTTACCTTGGATGCCTGTAAAACTCTGTTGCCTTTTCACCACCTAAAAGAAAAGAATGGGGGCAAATGTGTAAGCCCGGCCTGGTGATTTACCAGAAGGGTGGGCCTAGTGATTTGGTCAGAAACAAGGAAAGGGCCAGCTCAGAATGCAAGCCATAGTCCCCTTTTAAAAGTCCTCTGAGTCTTAATTCTGGGGACAGTCTGCTACTTGATGAGAGAAAACTAGCAAATGATATGTAGGTGAAGGCAGAAAGGAAGCCTCTACTGACCACCCAGGACACCCATAAAGTATGAGAGAAGAGGGACCATGGGGCAGAGGAGCGTTGGACCTAGCCAACCACTCCAGCAGTCACTGCTCTGGAGTCCAGAGATATGGAGGGGCAGACAGAGCTGAAAATCCAGGACAGAAAGTCAGAGCAACGGTTCTTCCCAGGTCCTCCCTCTGCCTGCCAGGATGCCCAGAGAACTAGAAAGGGTGCTGAGGCAAGGTGAAGGGGGTGAAAGAAGAGGGGAGAGGAGCAGGAGGCAGGAGCGATAGCAATAAAGGTGGCAGCAGTGATGGGGGACCGCCTTCAGACAGCAGTGCGACCCACCCTCCCAGCACACCAAGCTGTCCCCGCCCCTGCACACACCCACCTCCTGCACTCTGCTACCCAAACTCCCTTCCAGTGGAGGCCACTGTGGGGAAAGAAACCAGCATCCTCCACCCCATCTCTGGATCCCTCTTGGACCTCACTGCTGTGAGCCTCCCTCTTACCTTCTTGTGAGGCCTCAGGACCTGAGGCACCCAGTAGGGCATCACTGCCTGATCCCTAGGCATCGGGAGGCGGCCCCCAAAGCGGTGGCATGGGCAGGGGCATGCCTCGGAGGTTTTAGGGATATAAAACTGGACCATCTTTTGGATCTAACAGAGAGGAAGGGAAGAGAAGGTCCAAAGGGGTTGTGCTCCAGAAACCTTCACCTTGGGACAGGGTCCTAGGGGGCTCCTCTTCTGTACCCTCCCACAGGCACACCCCAATCACCCAGCTGAGGAAGCTTTCTCCCCTCCATGACATTCCCAGGGGCACCTGCACCTCTGCAGTGTGAAGAAGTCAGGAGATGTGGCTATCCTAAGTCTGGAGGCCTCCAGGACTAGCCCAATAGGGGCACAATATCCAGCCCCTCTGAGCCTCAGTGTTCTAGGCTATAAAGCAGGCTCTGCCAGCTTTCTGAAAACATGGGTCAGAATCAACAGCGGACAGTGTTTGATCCACCAACTCCACTCTGGGATATGTGTGCATCTGCAAAACGACACTTGCAAAGAACATTAGCTACAGTGCTGGCTGTAGAGGCCCAAGAGCCCGAAACCTCGTCTGTAAGGGATAATAAACAGGGGATATGGGGACAAGGGAATACTGCAGCCTCTGAAAAGCATGAGGCAGACCCATCTGTCCGCGCAGAGATGTGAAGTTAAGTGGGAAACAGAGCGTGCAGTATGTACAGGTTTTTTTTAAAGATTTTATTTATTTATTCATGAGAGACACACACAGAGAGAGAGAGGGAGGCAGAGACACAGGCAGAGGGAGAAGCAGGCTCCATGCAGGGAGCCCGACGTGGGACTCGATCCCGGGTCTCCAGGATCACACCCTGGGCTGAAGGCAGCGCTAAACCACTGAGCCACCCAGGCTGCCCAGTATGTATAGGTTTTATACAGAATCTACATGCCATACTTTCTGTGCATGAGTTGTGGGGGGACCATGGCCTTGCCCCATTCTTTTTCCCCCCACACAGCCCTGCCCATTGTCCTGCAACCCCAGTTTCTTCCAGCAGAGGGGTAGCATGGAGCCCGTCCCTGGACTGGAGTTAGGCCATGCACTGGTTTGGCCCACAGAACGAGAAGGAAGTGACAACAGCCAGATCTGGCCAGGCAAAGAGGCCACACTGGCCTCTACAATGTCTGGGCTGGCACACTGGCCCCAAGATCAGGGACAGGTGGGGCTGGGCCACCCAGCTGAGCCCCTCAGACATCTGAGTGATGACATTGACTGCTGTTTCAAGCCAGGCATTCAGGCAATGTGTTACACATCGCTAGTGGAAGAGCACACACATAGCCCATCTCCAGGCCACGCAAGGAAGCCTCAGGGGAGGCGCAGGCAGGGTATTCTCTTTCTACCACCCTAAGTTCCTACCATACACTTGTGAGTGGACCTGCTGACTTCCCAAGGCCAAGGAGAACCAGACCAGAGTATGTATGTGACGTGCTACAAAGCACAGGATCCCAGAGGGGAGGGCCAAGGGGTTGAAGGCTCACCCAAAGGAGGAGATGGAACAGGTTCTGAAGAACCTGAGAACCTCCATCCACCACTACCTCCTTTGAGCATGGCCTTGCCCAGCAGGATAAGCACACTCCGGTCAGGTCTGCCCCCTCCGCCAAGCACCTGCTAATAAGCACATTCTCTGCAGCATGCGTGGTATTAGGAGCAAAGACCTGCCCTGCCCACAGCAGTTCATTATGCAGCACTGTCCAGCTGTAAGATAATGCCAGGATGTGGGGGAACAGCAGGAGCTGGGAGAAAGCTGCAGGCCAGAAAAATCTGTCTAGAAACATCACTGAGCCACATCACAGGGGGCAGGCTAGGTGAAGGCGGGACAGCAGCAGGTACCTGTCTGAGAGGCCTCAGGATGTGGACAGAACCAACGTCCCAGGCAGACCCTGTCAATTGCCCAGACAGCAATCATTTACCAACCCAAATCCCCTTCTTAAAAGAACCCAGCTTTATTCAAGGGGCAAAGTGCCCAGATCCAAGGGATCAGCATCAGTCAATCAGGGCTTTGCCAGGAATGAGTAAGAACGTGAGGATGAAGAGAGGAACAAGAAGTACGTCAAGGCTTCTGGGAATGTTTTATCCCTGATAAGAAGGGAACAGGAGGGTAAGCCTTCTATGCCACCCTGGAAAAAGGAGGACCCCAGAAATGCTCACTTTCTGTCATGTGTATCATGGTATAAAACAGAGACCCATGGCCACCATCTCGAAACACTAAAGGTGACAATGCCAACACTCTGAGTAAAGACTCTGGTCCTTAGACATGCTGGTCAGCATAAAACCAATCCTAGAAGAGTCCTCTCTCTACCAAAGACCTGGATGAACCCATGGTGGGTCCATTTTCTGTGATTTGCACCTAACACTCCCCTCCACTGGAACAGGAGCCTGAGCAGCAAGTGGAAAGGAGGCTGGAGATGGGGGTGGGGAGGCAAGATCAGGAAGGACCCCAGAGACTGTGTCAGGGACTCCAGTCCACACTCAGGAACTGGGAGCTTCAGAGGAGCAACAGGACCAGATACACAGTCTTCAAAGCTTATGGGGCTGCAGCTCAAACATGGACAGCCAGACTAGAGAGGATGGAGGCAGGGAGCCCAGGCGGAACACATGAGACAGGCTGGGCACACTGTCTTCTATAGTCCTTCCATCCTGCTTAGGGTCACCTCCTCCCTGAAGCCCACCAGCACAACTCAGTGAGGAGAGTCCTGGGTTCTAATCCCTCATCTGCTATGAACTGACACTGTGACCCCGGTAAAGCCTGTCCTTTCTAGACCTCAGTGTGCCCATTCTTTAAAGGGGTACAATAATACCTACCCTGCCTGACTCTCAAATGACACAGTGACCAACAGGAGGGACTGAGGCCATCATCACTGCCTAGGACAACATGACTCAGTCATCTTGAAGCCAATGACCCCTTTGAGAGTCTACTAAAAAACAAGAAACGAGAGAGAGGGCCTCATTTCAGATTCCACTGGTATTAAAAGAGTGATTAGAGAACATTATGAACAACATTGTGCCAATAAATTTGACAATGATGTAATTAACAAATTCCTTAAAGCTCACTAAAAAAGAAGCAAACAACCTGAATAACTCTGTTATCTATACAAGAAATTAAATTTGTAGTTAAAAAAACCTTCCCACAAGGAAGCTCTGTCCCACATGGCTTCAATGATAAATCCTACCAAATATTAAAGGAAGAAATAATACCAATTCTACACTAAGTCTTCCAGAAAAGTGAAAATGAGATAATACTTCTCAACTCCAGATCGGCGTCATCTGAATTCAAAGGCAAACAAGGACAATGCAGATCAGTAACCCTCATGAATATACAAGCAAAACTTCTAATCAAATATATGAAGGAGAATGCATCCTGATTAAAGGGGATTTCTCCCAGGAAGTGGTTTAACTTTGGAAAATCCATCAATGCAATCCGTCATATTAACAAACCAAAAAAAAAAAAAAAGATGCTCTGAATAGACACAGATAAAATCCAACATTTATTTTGGATAAAACCTCTCAGCAAACTAGGAATAGCCAGGAACACCCTTAGCCTGATGCAGGGCATCTAAACCAATGGCTAACATCATGCTTCATGATGAAAACCCGAGCTGTCCCTTGAAGATGAGAGAGAAGATAAGCACATCTTATCTCCCCACTCCACTCTACAGTACACCAGAAGTTCTAGCTAGAGTTCAGGCAAGAAAAATAAAGGCATCCAAACCAGAAAAGAAGGAATGAAATCATCTCTCCCTGCAGATGACATGATCATCTATGTAGAAAACTTGATGGACTCTACAAAAGAGCTCCTAGAATAAAGGAGGTAAGCATTACCGTAGGATGCAAGATCAAAATACAAAAATCAGTGGTATTTTTAGTACTAGCAATGAGCAATCATAAACTAAATTTTTAAAATGATGTCATCAAAACTATAAAACACTCACAGATCAGTGAGACAGAAGGTGTGCCAGACCTGTGCATTGCTGACTGCAAGACAACCCTGAGAAACACAAAAGGCCTACAGGGATATAGAGATCACCAAGTTCTCAGGTCAGAAGAGTCAGTGTCATTAAAAAAGATGATTCTCTTCACACTAATTTACACAAAAAATACCAACCAAAACCCCAGCAAGACGTTTCTTTAGAAACTGGCAGATGGGATTCTAAAATTCACATGGAAATGCAAGGAAACTAGAATAATCAACTTTAAAGAAGAAAACTGGCATTGGAGACACACACTATCTGATCTCCAAGTTCATTATAAAGCCACAGCAGTAGAGACAGCATGACATTGGCATGCAGACAATTAGAAGAGTGGGATGGAACAAAGCCTGGAAACAGACCCACAGCTACACAGCTGATTTCTGGCAAGGTGCAAAGGCAAGCCAGTGGAGAAAGCATGGTGTCTATGACATGTGGCATTACAACAACTGGACACCCACAACGGGGAAAAAAAAGAACTTCAGGCCATACCTTAAGCTACACACAAAAATTAACTTAAAATGGATCACAGACCTAAACACAAACTATAAACTATAAAACTTCTAGGAAAAAATACAGGAGAAACCTTTCTGATCTTGGCACCTTGGCTTACACAAAGATTTCTTAGGTATACTTAATACTGCTAAAAAAAAAAAAATACTGCTGTGCTGTGGTGGGGGGCAAGGGGCACACCTAAGCAAGATCCAGGAAAGGTCCAATTGATAAACTGGACTCCCTCAAAATGTAAAACTTATGCTAGTGAAAGATATTGATAAGAAAACAAAAGAACAAGTCAAAAACATGGACAAAATGTTTATAAATTGAGTATCTCATTATACCTAGAATATATAAAGAACTCTCAAAACTCAATAATTTAAAAAAAAAAAGCAAACAATCCAGTTTTTCTAAATGGGCAAAATATCTGAACAGATGCATACATATCAAGTAAGACATACAAAGCCAACAGCATAGGGAGGAGCCACTCGGCATCACCAGTTACTGTGGAAATATAAAGCCACAAGAGGACACACACCTATTAAGACGGCTAAGATCTGAAAGACTGACCAAACCACGTGTTACTGAGGATGTGGAGGACTAAAACTCTATACACTGCTAGTGCAAATGTAAAATGATACAACCACTTTGGAAAACAGTTGGCAGTTTTTTAAAAAGTTAAACATACACTTACCCCACGATCCAACAAGTCCACTCCTAGGTATTTGCCCAAGAGAAATGAAGGTGTGTTCATACAAAGATTTGTACACAAATGTCCACAATAGCTTTATTTGTGATAAACAAAACCTCTGAGATGGTGCAGATGTCCTTCAGTGGACAAATGGCTGCACTGTGGTCCAGTCATATGATGGATACCCAGTGCCACTCAGCAACAGCATGGATGAAGCTCAGAAATAATTACACTGAGTGAACGAAGCCAAAGAGGGCCTACTATACGATTCCATTTATATAAAATGCAAGGAAATGCAAACTGATCTAGGGTGACAAAAACAGGTCAGTGGTCACCTGGGCACAGCAGGGTGGGGAGGATGGGGGCAGTCACAAAGGGCCATAAGGAAACCTTTCAGGGTTGCATGAATGCACGTTAGCTCAGCAGCAGTGGTAGTTTCACAGATGGGTATGTATGTCAAGACTTAGCAAACTGTACATTTTACATATGTGCAGTTATCACGTCAGTCTTAACTCCACAGATCTGGTTTTTGAAAAAATATGAATCAAAAAAAAAAAAAAAAAAACACAAACTGTCCCCTAGAAATTTTAAGATACCACTCTATACCACCTATGACTTTGAGGGGTGACTGGTCCCCTGAAGTTCACTGTGGACTCAGATGAAGAAACCCTAGTTCAAGTCACCTACCTGCTTTCGGGGTCTCAGGGACAACGGGACCCAGTAAGGCAACGCCGCCTCAAACCTGGGCACCGGCAGGTAGCCCCTGCATTTGGCCTGGCACTCACAGCAGATGGGCTCTTGATGAACAGTACTGGGGACAGGACACATCTGAGCGAGAGTCAGAAAAGAGAATTAAATTTGCTGCTGCATTTGCGAATTAAGCCAAGGAACTCTCTGGAATAGTAAACCAATGCTTGGAGAGAGCCAAGGTTGAGGCAGGGTGTCCAGGGGCAGGGGCCCCAGCTCCTCCTGCAGCTCACAAAGAGGGAGGCTACCCTGGCTCACTCCAGACTCATCTAGAAGGGCACCACCAGAGCCTGTAGACCAGGTGTATTAGGATTCCCAGCCACTTACTGCTGCATCACCATGAGCAAGTCTGGGGAGCACAACCAAGTGCAGTGGGGAAAGGGTTGTTCTTTTCATGTACCAATCTGCCATCATGTTTTACATTTGCAAAGTCTTCCACATCCATCCCAGGGGATCCTTGCCATGCCCACAGGCAGGCAGGAGAAGGGAAGTCATCCTCCCCAGGGTCAGATGAAGAAACAGATGCCCAGAGCAGGTACTTCAGGGGGCAGTGTGGTACTCCCAGGCCTCCCGAGTCCCTGTCTTGAAGTGTCTTCAGGAACCAGGGGTGGGGGAGGCAGTGAGTGACCCTACACAGAGATATTGGGGGCCCAGTGATAGGCCCTATAACCGTAGACTCCCATTTCTTTCTTTTTTTTTTTTAATTTTTATTTATTTATTTATGATAGTCACAGAGAGAGAGAGAGAGAGAGGCAGAGACACAGGCAGAGGGAGAAGCAGGCTCCATGCACCGGGAGCCCGACGTGGGACTTGATCCGGGTATCCAGGATTGTGCCCCAGGCCAAAGGCAGGCGCCAAACTGCTGCGCCACCCAGGGATCCCTAGACTCCCATTTCTGACTCACCCTGATGAAGTGCTGTCTGAGGACCCACCCACATTCTCCACTCTCCCAAATTCCACAGGGTTGGTGGAGTTGGGGCAAAATAGCTGAGAGGTTGCTTTCCTTACCGACTGATCTATGAAGCACACTTCTTTCCCAAAGGTTTGAAATGTGCTCTTCCTAGAAAACAAGAACAGGAAGGCTTAGAAAGTTCTGAGCTTTGTGTAAATTGTGGTGGGGGCGGGGGGGGGGGAGGATAGGACTGTGGGGTGAGGATCCGGGCCAGCTTCCTCCTCACCTGGCATGTCACTAAGCCCCAGGGAGAGGGAGGTCATTGTCCTGACACTGAGAGAGGGAGGGGGCTGACCACAGAAGCAGGTGTATGCATGCTCCTCTATGTCCAGAACGTACTCACTTGCTGCACACTCCAGCTCAACACGCCCTGGGCCCTTTGGGAGTGAGAAGAAGGCTCCTGCCAGGGCCAAACCTTCCAACCACAATCCCCAGCACGCCCAGGGGCTTACTTGCAATACCCAAGGCAAAGACGGTGAAAGCCGTATGTTAAATGAAACTCCCTCCAGTAAAGAAGCTGTGGTCTGTGTGTACAGCGGAATATTCCTCAGCCATCAGAAACGACAAATACCCACCATTTGCTTCGACGTGGATGGAACTGGAGAGTATGATGCCGAGTGAAGTGAGTCGATCGGAGAAGGACAAACAGTGTATGTTCTCATTCATTTGGGGAATATGAATAACAGTGAAAGGGAATAAAGGGGAAAGGAGAGAAATGAGTGGGAAATATCAGAGAGGGTGACGGAACATGGGACTCCTAACTCTGGGAAACGAGCAAGGGGTGGTGGAAGGGGAGGAGGGCGGGGGTGGGGGTGACTGGGTGACGGGCACTGAGGGGGGCACTTGACGGGATGAGCACTGGGTGATAGGCTACACGTTGGCAAATCGAACTACAATAAAAAAAATATACTAAATAAATAAATGAATAGCAACCCCCTCCAGGACAGCACGGGTGCCTGGGGTGGGGTGACAGAGCATCTGAGGCCGTGCAGGCGGCCGCACCACCTGCCGCCACCACCCCAGGAGCTAACTGCCGGGGTGTGATACGGGGCCCCCAGGGGCACAACGCGAACACAACGCAGAGGCTGACGCGTCCGTGTTCTGTAACGTGGAAACCCTCGGCGCCGCACTGCGCTGCCTGTGCTGTGCGTCAGCGTCAGCGTCAGCGTCAGCGTCGCTGCTGCTTTATTCCAGCAAGAGCCTCGGGTCGTCGGCTCTGCGGGCGCAGCCGAGGCTGCGAAGAGCCGCGCAACCGCCCCCACGGCCCAGGGAGCCGGAACCCCCAGTCCCCACCCGCAGGCAGCCGCCCAGCTCTCTCCACAGACTGGCTGGGGGCGTGAGGCGGCGCTGGCGGGAGGAGGGGGAGCGGGCCACGACCCCTCCCGGGACTTCGGAGCCAGCGCCGAGGGGGAGGTCTGCGGTGGTGCGCGGAGGCGGTCAGCCCCAGAGGGAGGCCAGCGCCCCACAGCGCCCACGTCCTCGGGCCGGGAAGCACCACACGGCCCTCCGGCGCTTACGTCAGCGTGGGCGTGCCCTCTGCCCGCCTAGGTGCTCCAGCCTCCGCGGGGCCCAGGGACCCGGCGGCGGCGTCCGCGGCCCGGCGAGCGGGGCTCGGGCACGCACTTGCCTGCCACGACGCGCTCGGGAGAGTGCGCGCTGACTGACGGACCCAACGGACACCCGAGGGCCCCCGGAAGTGCCCGCCTTGGCTCCGGCAGGGCCGCCGCGGTGGAGGCGGTGGGGACCATCCTGAGGCGGGTGACGACAGCAGGGCCCGGCCTTACGCAACCGGCTGCTCCCGCGGCCGGCGCGCGCACGCACCGGCAGCCGCGCCCGGGCCACCCCGCCGGGCCCCTCCCCTTCCTCCCGTCCGCTGCCTCAGGCCCCGCCCTTCCGGCCGGAGGGCCCTGGCGCGCCACGGACTCGCCGAGCTTAGCCAATCAGGCGCGGCCTTCTAGGCATGTGCCCTTCTCTGGCGGCTGACTGGCCCCAGGCGTCGGGCTCCGTGGGTCACGGGGAGGCCTTGGGGCGGGGCCGGAAGCGCCCCCTCGCCGCCGTCCGCGGGAGCCGCTGGTCCCGGAAGCTCCGGCTCTGTGCGCGCCCCGCTTCAGCGCGCGGGTCGTGACGTGGAGGAGCTGCCCGGGGCTCGGGAGGCCGCGGAGCTGCCGCCGGCTGCCGTCCGGAGGGCCCCGTACACGCCTGGGCTCTGGCCCGCTTCCGTCTCCCTGTCGGCTCGGGCAGGACGCCCGGACGTGTGTTTGGATCGGAGGCCGTCGGCGCGGCCCCGCTCCCCGAGACTCCGGCCGTGGAGCCCGAACCCAACTTGCGGCCAGTGCCGGAGAAGCCAGGCACCACCCCGGCGTGTGTCTAAGTCGGGTCACCCGCCTCCTCCCAGCGAATGGCGGTCACCAGGAACCTCAGCACGACCCGAGCATTTCGTGCGCGGCCGTCCGGTCCCTGCCCGCCCGCCTCCTCCGCGCTCCTCCGCGCTCCTCCCGAGCCCACCGGAGCCCTGCTGTAGCCTCAGTCAGGCTGTGCGGCCGGACGCTGCGACACACTGACCCTGCGCCCCCTCCCAGGACGCTGGGGCACACTGACCCTCCGCCCCCTCCCAGGACGCTGCGGCACTCTGACCCTCCGCCCCCTCCCAGGACGCTGGGGCACACTGACCCTCCGCCCCCCTCCCAGGACGCCGGGGCACACTGACCCTCCGCCCCCTCCCAGGACGCCGGGGCACACTGACCCTCCGCCCCCTCCCAGGACGCTGCCGCACTCTGACCCTCCGCCCCCACTCCCCAGGACGCTGCGGCACACTGACCCTGCGCCCCCACTCCCCAGGACGCTGGGGCACACTGACCCTCCGCCCCCTCCCAGGACGCCGGGGCACACTGACCCTCCGCCCCCTCCCAGGACGCTGCCGCACTCTGACCCTCCGCCCCCACTCCCCAGGACGCTGCGGCACACTGACCCTGCGCCCCCACTCCCCAGGACGCTGGGGCACACTGACCCTCCGCCCCCACTCCCAGGACGCTGCGGCACACTGACCCTGCGCCCCCACTCCCCAGGACGCTGGGGCACACTGACCCTCCGCCCCCACTCCCAGGACGCTGCGGCACACTGACCCTGCGCCCCACTCCCAGGACGCTGGGGCACACTGACCCTCCGCCCCCTCCCAGGACGCTGGGGCACACTGACCCTCCGCCCCCTCCCAGGACGCCGGGGCACACTGACCCTCCGCCCCCTCCCAGGACGCTGCCGCACTCTGACCCTCCGCCCCCCTCCCAGGACGCCGGGGCACACTGACCCTCCGCTCCCTCCCAGGACGCCGGGGCACACTGACCCTCCGCCCCCTCCCAGGACGCTGCCGCACTCTGACCCTCCGCCCCCCTCCCAGGACGCCGGGGCACACTGACCCTCCGCCCCCTCCCAGGACGCCGGGGCACACTGACCCTCCGCCCCCTCCCAGGACGCTGCCGCACTCTGACCCTCCGCCCCCCTCCCAGGACGCCGGGGCACACTGACCCTCCGCCCCCTCCCAGGACGCTGCGGCACTCTGACCCTCCGCCCCCTCCCAGGACGCTGCCGCACTCTGACCCTCCGCCCCCTCCCAGGACGCTGGGGCACACTGACCCTCCGCCCCCTCCCAGGACGCCGGGGCACACTGACCCTCCGCCCCCTCCCAGGACGCTGCCGCACTCTGACCCTCCGCCCCCCTCCCAGGACGCCGGGGCACACTGACCCTCCGCCCCCTCCCAGGACGCCGGGGCACACTGACCCTCCACCCCCTCCCAGGACGCTGCCGCACTCTGACCCTCCGCCCCCACTCCCCAGGACGCTGCGGCACACTGACCCTGCGCCCCCACTCCCCAGGACGCTGGGGCACACTGACCCTCCGCCCCCACTCCCCAGGACGCTGCGGCACACTGACCCTGCGCCCCCACTCCCCAGGACGCCGGGGCACACTGACCCTCCACCCCCTCCCAGGACGCTGCCGCACTCTGACCCTCCGCCCCCACTCCCCAGGACGCTGCGGCACACTGACCCTGCGCCCCCACTACCCAGGACGCTGGGGCACACTGACCCTCCGCCCCCACTCCCCAGGACGCTGGGGCACACTGACCCTCCGCCCCCCTCCCAGGACGCCAGGGGACATTGACCCTCCGCTCCCCCTCCCAGGACGCTGCGGCACACTGACCCTGTCCCCTCCCCCTCCCAGGGGCACATTGACCCTCCCCTCCCAGGAATGGCCAAGAGGACTAAGGACCAAACACCAGGTTCATCGAGGGTGTGGCAGCTGGAGCTGGCACCTGTTGCTAACGAAGTTGGCATAGGTACATTGGCAACATTGACAAGACCTAAACCTGTGACCTAATACCCTCCAACTCAGTGGTTCCTGGGGCAGCCCCACACACCATAGAAATGAGAACTCAGTCCGCCAGAAGCATGTTAACAGCTCCAGACTGCAAGTGACCCAATGTCCATTCATAGCAGAAAAAGTGAAAGAAAGAACCTGTGGCATTTTCAGGTGGAGGAACACCACCTAAGGATGGAAAAGAACACACAGCTGCAAGACCCGAGACTCCAGAGCAGGCACATGATTCCACACGCAGAAGTTCCAGTGGGAAAGCAAACGCATCACCACAGTCCACTCTGCCCTGGGTGTTCAGAGTAACCAGGGCCTGCCTCCGACCCTGGCCCTGCCTCTCCCACACTGTGCATCCTTCTCCAGGCCTGGGCGCTGTCTGTAAAATAGTCATAACTACAGACCCAATTCCACAGGCAGTTGGGGAAGATAAGTAGGACGCAGCATACAGGAAGCCTTCCATGCAGGTTGGTTGTCATTAGGTGAGTGTGGTAGATCCTAGCTTTTCCCCTATATTTTCGCTTTCCCTGTCCTACTTCAGGCAGGGGGTTGGCTCACTGCCACTGCCTCAGAGGAGGTGCCTGTGGCCACCAAAGGTTTATGTCAGGCTTTTGTTTCCAAAGCCCTCAGGTAGGAGGAGGAGAAGCAGAAAGCTTGAGTCCTAGAGTCATGGTGCAGTGTGTTCACCAAACAAGGGTCCCTGGCTGAGAGCACGGCAAGTTGGGCTTGCATTCCACCTACATTGGGCCTGTGGCTGAGCCTGCCCCTGCTCCCAGTGGCCACCTTCTGTGACCTGCCCAGGAGCACTCTAGGCATCCCCCTCGTCCCAGCCCCCACAGCACTCACGTGCTGATGGCTGTCAACTCCTGTAACTGCCCAAAGATGACTCTCTGGACCCCTGTCTGGGGGCAGGCCAGGAGTGCCAGGGATTGATGCTCCTGGGAGCAGCCCTCAGCCGTGACAGGGAGGGTGGACAAGTGTCTGGGCTTCTGTGCCTGCGGGTGGGATGGTGCTCCGCACACCAATCCCCAGCATCCCTGCAGGCCTGAGCCCCAGCTGCCCCCTTGATGATGCTCTGCACCACCCCTCACTCCCTACACCGTAGCCAAAGTCATCTCCCCAATAGTGTATTTGCAGATCCTTGCTCAGGGCTGGCTTTTAGGGGAACCCAGCCAAGACAGCTATTTCCCACCACCCCCATGACTATCATCTGCAGCCTGGAACCCAACCAAGACTGCCCTTTCCCACCACCCCTGTGACCATCACCTGCAGCCTGGAGGGACTCTTTTCAGGTTGTCATGAAGCCTCGTGTCACCTCACTGGAGACAGAACCCAGGACTGGACCACCTGTGCCCTCCGAGAGCTGGTGGCAGAGGGGGACTCTCCCCAGTCACTCCTGCATGCAGTGAGGGTGGCAGGCTGCAGCAGCATGAGCCTGAGTGAGCGCTAACAAAGGCTTTAAAAACAAAACCTAGGCAGATGCAGGGAGACCAGCATTAGGAGGGCAGTGGCAGCCATGCTGGGGCTGCAGGCAAGACGAGGACGGGCCTCCAAATGCACAGAGATGGGCAAAAACCTCCTTCAGTCCCTCATTCCAGACTGGATTTCCCAGGGAGGAGAAAAGGGCCTATCATCTACTTGAAACCAGGACCTGACCCTACATAAGCAGGCTTTGGGGAGGCCGAGCCCCCAAGTGGGGACACCTCTCTGTAACCTGAGAGAGCTGGCAGCCAAGACACAGGGCCTGACGGCAGGTCACCCCTGCCCCTGTGGGTGGACAGAGCAAGTGAGAGGCCATCCAGCAGGAAGGGCACTGTCTCAGGGCCACCACCGCGCAGGTCCTGGGGACCATGGGTGGAGGACTGTCCTTCCCACATATACACATCCGTATCTTTGAGAACATTGCTACTACAAAAGCATGTATTACTGCTAACCCAGAAAAGAACCCAGAATTTGTGATTTTGTTTGGAGGTTTGTTAAAGGAAAACCTTGCCTGATGGACCTGTGACAGGTAGGGAGACAGAGCTCCACAATGCTAAATCTCGTGGGTTTGGTAAAAACATGATTTAAAAGAAAAGCCACTGGGTGCCTTCAGCTCAGGTAGTGCTCCCGGGGTCCTAGGATCAAGTTCTTTTTTTTTTTTTTTAAAGATTTTATTTTATTTAATCATGAGAGACACAGAGCAGGAGAGAGAGAGGCAGAGACACAGGCAGAGGGAGAAGCAGGCTCCATGCAGGGAGCCCAATGTGGGACTCAATCCTGGATCTCCAGGATCACGCCCTGGGCTGCAGGCGGCGCTAAACCTCTGCGCCACCCGGGCTGCCCCAGGACTCCCTTTTTCACCCAGCCTGGGGCCCTGCATAAGTGACCGGTCCCCACTGTGCAAGTTGGCTGCCCCAGACCCTTACCTTGTGAGATCGCAGGCTCCGTCGTCACCCCATATTCTCCCCATCTCTCCAACCACAACATTCTAGAGCTCTCTCTGATGTGCTATGGAACATCAGCAT